TGTTACCCGGTTTAGATTATTTAAAATTTGATGCAACCCCAATGCAAAATTTAATAATTTATATTATTCCTATTCTGGGAAGACTTTTTAATTACGAATAATAGTAACATTCATAAAATTAGTTGATATAATGATGAATCCTATCCATACCTTTTTATTACGTCAAACTTTTACGCCAGTATTTAAAATTTCAATATTGCCAAAGGAATGTCGAACTTATAGCTAGTCAGAATTAGCCAACTTCTTGGAGGTCCCATCCATATCATTGGCATTTTAAGCGTTATAGAATAACTCGAACGCACAAGTCCTAATGCGTTAGAACAATAACAACTAAATTAAACAGCTTAAGTATGGGTGTTACATCGAAGCGGCAAAACAATGATCTGATGTGAGGAAAAAAGGCAAGGTAGTTTCGGAGCTGCTATTTTTTGTACAGAATCTATAACGGCATATAAATTTATCCTATATAATCTCTAAAAGAAACCAATCGATATAGTCTAAAAATAGTAAACCACTGTGTTCCAAATTGCTTGTAATCAGAGGATTTCTCGGTAACCAGCAGAGATAGATCTTTGCAATTTAGTTCCCGTGTCAGTTTTTCTTGAACCTTTGAATGCCGCAAACAGAATTATACCACCTTATTTCGTACGTGATTTTAACGGTGAAATAGAAATTTTGCGCTTTTTGAGGTGGAAACCTGTAAGATTTAACAAAGGGGAAAACTGCTGTAGATAGATAGTTTGACTTAAAATCAAGTGGTGTCATCAACAATTATTTAGACAAACCGTTTTCAAGGTATAGCTGAAAAGTAGTACTTTTTAAATGAAACGCCCCGTATTTTTTGATTCCATTATATACACTATGCACTTCTGAATTAAATTAACCCTTAAATACTCAATATTTTGAGAAAAACAAAAGTTAACCATTTTCTATTTCATCATGTTCCGTGAGAACTAGGTGGCATGAAACCTCTGTTTGCGACATTCTAAGTTTCATAAAAAACTGAGGCAAAGCCGCGAAAACGTGCTGGTTACTGACAAACCCTGTGATTACAAGCAAACTATGGCGAGTTTGAAATTATGCATGGTAACGGGTTTAATTGTACTCTATCTATGGCGAAAGTGTTACCATCTGGATCCGTCTCTGCCCGAAACGACTGAGACTTCGAAGTTGCGAAACAATTTAGAGAAGTCGAATTGAAGTTAGTCGAAGATTCAAGAAATTCGAGAAATAATTGTTAACTCGATATAAACACAGCTGTAAATAGAGTACAGGGGAGGTGCTGTGCTGTTAGCCAGACAGTAACACAATGTGAAAAGAAAAAACTGTTATGGTGTATCAAGATTCATTGGATGTGGGACAGAGGTCGCAAATAATAAAAACAAAAAGTCTTAGCCAAAAAATGGTAGATTTTGAATTTTACAATGACAGAATCTAAGAGACATTTCCTTGATATTCATTCTATACTGCAGTATTGAATAAATGCGGCCTTATAAATTGTGGTATTGGGAATTGATTTTATTATGGGCAAATAATTTGTTTCATGATATTTATTAGCGTTTATCAGTTAAACAATTCGAAGGTGACTCGTAGTATTATCGACAGAATTCTTTTAAACCGTCGGTAGCATAATATGGCATGGCATAGCTGAGTTAGAGTAATATTTTATTTTTATTTACATTTTTAAAATACCATGTGAATCGTAACCTGCAACAAAAAAAAAACTATCTACAAGATAAGAAAGCTATTTGTTCGAATCTCGCCAAGACTCTTATTATCAGCATCTTAGGTATATTGACACCTATATTGGTATTAGAGCTGCAATCTGTTTAATCGATATTGTTTAGCATAATATAAAACAGTTATATCACCACTTATAGTCTTGTCCATTATAAATTATTTACACTTAACTTTATGTTTGTTTGACCTACCAGAAAAAAGCTGTGGCCCAGTTTGTACATCGATTTTATCTTATCCTGCCGCTTAGCTGAAACGGTAGTTTTCCCATTCTAGTAATGTGTTGTCACCTCGCATGATGGAAGAAGGCTAATATTGTAATATTTTGATCTATTGATTTTGTCAGATGAAGAATTTTACCAAATGTTATCTAGAAAAAGGTGTAAAGTAGATGATTAAAAGGCGACGCGAGGAAGGTTATTTTCATTTTTTAATAAACGATCATCTAAAAGAAGATGAAAAAAAGTTCAGGGAATTTTTCCGATTGATTCCTGACCAATTCCAATTTGTTTTGTCACTAATAGAACAGGGCGTTACAATGCATGGAACAAATTTTGTTAAATATCTCATCACATCCGAAGAAAAATTCGCTCTGGCATTATGGTAAGAAAAATAATTATTCCAGTAATTTTTTTTTATTTTTAAAAAATAAACTTAAAAATACAAATGCTTATGACCGGCATGGTTAACCTATTTTGCTGGAATAATAATTGAATAACCCTCTAAACCAGTATTCATTCTCGCATTATATAAAAAATAATTATTTAAGCGTGGCACCGATGGTGATTGACTTGATTGGGTATAGGGTGCACGTGAATGTGATTATTGTGAGCTATGAGTGTCAGTATATAATTGAGGTTCTGGATTGCTTCAATTTCTAAATCGCTAACTAACGTTAATATACCAGTCTTTATTTATTAACGATAGTGGTAACTTTTTGGTGATTAAGGCAATACTTTTCTTAAAAAGGTCGACTGATCGTTAGCTTCCTCCATCTTTTTTCTGTTATAAATGCCTTCCAATATGTTCATTCCCTATTGCGATCTCTCGTCAAAAGCAATTGTTGATACACTTTTTATGGTTCTAGAGAATTTGGACTTTGGTTTTAGTGCGTTCGTGTTTTACCTCGTCTAAAAATGAAAGTTGCCCGAGAAGCTTACATTTTATTGTTTTGTCAATGCCGCAGCGCCCGTTCCTAATTTTTGCTTTATTTTGTTTCGGAAGTATGTATCCTTTATACATTTTTATCCTTTTTGGTAGTCTTCAACTGTAGGCAAAGGAAAAATTAGCACTGAGGTACTCTAAGAACCACAAAATATTCGATTACCCGCGAAGTCATGCAAAAAATAAATAATATGTTCAGTAAATTATTTATTTCTGTAAATGTATAATAATATACAAATATTTTAATTGATTGTGGGTTTATGGCAACTGGTGAAACCTTCAAATCTCTTGGATTTGCCTTTCACCTAGCTATATCAGTATCATTATTAAGAAAACACTGACTGCGATACGCAAGAATTTAATACCTATTTTTTGTCGCCACCAACCAGGAACTGTGTGGAAGCTATAGATAGCAAGCATGTCCAAATTTTTGCACCAGCAAAATCTGCTTCTTTACATTTTAATTATAAGAATTACTTTTCCATAGTTCTTCTTTCAATGGTTGATGCAAATTATAAATTTGTTGCTTTGGAGGTAGGATCATATGGGAAGGAAGGCGACAGTGCAATTTTTAAGAAATCTGCTTTTGGTAATGAAGACTTTTTTCCATCTGATCAAAAATTGCCAAATTCAAACAGAGTTTTACCATACGTCATTATTGGTGATGAAGCCTTTCGTTTGCACAAGAATAATATGAATATTAATAAAACTTCAGCAAATTCTAAAAAACCAAAGCGATTTTTAATTATAGACTTACCCTTGCTCGAAGAGCCAACGAAAATGCGTTTGGTTTACTTTGTCAGGTTTTTAGAGTGTTTTATACACATATAAATAAAAAACTTGTTGTTTGCACAATTTATTAAGAGGTGCATACTCGGAAAAAAATAATTTAATTTTTTAATGAACAAAATACGCAAACCATGCAAAATTTTAGAAGAGCTGTAGGTTTTCAAGATTCTGATGGATTTCGCATCAGAGACGGGTTTTTGAACTTTTTTTGTCCGAGACGGAATTGTCGACTGGCAAGAGAAAATGATTTCCAAAGAAAAATAGACAATAAATTAAAAATAATTAATTATATAAATGTAGGTACTTATTTCAAATATTGAAAAAAATATTCTCTGTTTAAATAGCCCTTGTGTAATAATCGTTGGTAAACAAGCTCTAGTGAAATTCCTATCTCATATAAAAGATGCTGATAGTTTGCAGACAATTCGGGGCGTTCCCGCCAGTTTTCTGGCAGACGACAACCAGTTTTTACCGGATTTTAGTTTATATGAGAGGAAACGTAGTTATTCCGGTAGGTAGATTTTGATTTAACCATTAAAATAACATAAATCTGTTTACAATATGATACTAGACGTCTTTTTTTAATTCTTTAGAGACCTTCTTCCAACAATTTTATTTAATAAAAAAATGTTTGTGTACATAATCATAAATTACGTTATATTTTTGTATTTCTTTGATTAAAATTTGACGTAAATGGCGCCATTTTTTGCCATTTTTGACTGCTTCGCACCTTAAGATAATGTGTCAGCATCTTGTTTTTTATTCACCTCTTTGCATCTTTGCATGATCAGAGAAATGTGGACCAATATCGGCCAATCACATCTTAGACGTCTGGTTCAAAGTACGTTGCGTTGATATCAATCGGGAGGAAATACCCAATATTGACTTTTTATTCGATTAATAACGATGATTTTGTTTCAATATTTTTGTTGATTATTACATTTTACATTAAATTCGATATGAATAAAAAATAAAATGGCTTAGAGAAACGCCTAGTAGTGTTGACGTAGATGCCCGCAGAGTACGTTGTATTTATTATTAATATTTATTTATTTATTAATTATTAATTATTAATTAAAATAAAAGTGATTTTTGTAACATCGTTTTGAAGATTTGTGCTACAATTTAAACTGATATATCCAAATTGAGTCAGCAACAGCGAAATTAACATATCTTTGAGTGGTGCGTTAATTTTAATTTAATTCTGTATTTAAGTCTGTATTTATATGCAGGAAACATTGCTAGGTAGAACAGGTGATAAAAAAATATAGACTTGGTAAATCCATTTTATGGCAAACTCGTTGTTGCAGGTGACAACGATATCGCAATTACGACAACCGAACCGACGCCATTAATCTCGGAATACAAGAATCCGTATCCGCAAAGGCACCCCTGCTATCGATTCGCCGATATCCGCAACAAGGAGTTCTTTAGCCCAGCGTATCCACCTGACGCGCCCACCTATCCCAGTAACATTAATTGTTCGGTAGTGCTGACAGGTAAGTTTCCCACCTATTTACATTTGCAAAAGCGAAATTTTGTTCTCATCTGATAATTTAATGCATGGTCTAAAACTCCAAAAGCTTCAGTTATTTTTTTATTGGCGAATTAACTTCAGTGGAATAGACCATCAGTTTTGGTTAATTTATTGTTAATTGTTTTCCTCAACAGAACTGAAAGTACTTTAGGTAAATTAGGAATAGAAGTAATTTTAGTTAGAGTTAGAGAGTTAGAAAGCAATTTACCATGGGTTGAAAAGAATCTATATTAGGAATGTGAGGGATTTGATAGAGTTCATAAAAGCCATCCATATTTGTACTTACAATGGATACCATTCTAAAACTGTTGAGTAAAACACATTAAAATGGGCGGCAAGGTGTACATGTCACCCAATACAAATCTTCTGGATTCCTTTTGCTCCGGTGCTTGATGAATCGAATTTGCTGACGTCTCCAGAATCATCCTGCTGGCTTTGTCAGAGCTTAACTGAAACCTCAAGTATTGCCTGTGGAAGTTTCTTTTACAAAAAAAAGATATTTAATTACTGTAGCAGAAACTAACTGCTATCAAAATTCGATTTATTTCCGATTATTATAGTCTGCTTGTTTAACAAGTTGAAAATATTATTACGAAAATTAATCCCCGAAGATAATAAGAGACGGTCATTGAAGCAAATTCAAAATAAGAAAAAAATAATTCTAACAAAGCAATTTAACTGGATTAGAATCAATTAATATATTTATTCATTAATTTGAACTTCCTGTTATGTGCGTGATAAATATGTGAACAGCTTAAAATCCATCTGACAAAGTGTTCGGCGACTTAAGCAAGTTAGGTTAGCGAATACCGAAAATTGAATTAACAGAGTGTTTGCAAATTGCCAGGGTGATAAATCTTTATCAGAGGTTGGCGTATACACCCCTAAGATTGTAAAAAAACAACTTTTGTATCAACTATTTCGACGATAAAACGTAACCTAACCTTTAAAAACTGTTTAAATCTGATAGATTACACACCGTGGGTAAAAAAGCAATGATGATGATCACCAAATTGTCAATTTGATTTGTAATTGTAAAGAAAAAATTTTCGATACGGCGTATGAATTGGCAAAAAATATATTTTTTTATGAAAACAAAACAGTTCTGCTGGAGATTTAGTTTCTATTTTATGCCACTGTGCATTTAACGTAACAGAAAATGCAACGAAATTGAGCACGGACTGGTAATTTACGAAAATTACCGTGATACAGTATTCCAAATTTTACAAGGAATTAAAGAAAAAGGAAGACACGTTCTAAAGCTCCCACTATTGGAATGAACAAACTATCCAAATGACAACATGGACAAAAATTATTTCAAATTAAAACAGTAGAAACTATTCCAATCGAACTGTTGCCGTAACTAAATTGTTGAAGGAATGGTATTGATGACATAGCAATCCGTTTTCATTCTAAATGGAAGACGCGAAGGTTCCGACGGTCACGTTGTCTAGAGTACTTGCGTTGTTAACAAATAAATCTGTTCGTGAAAATAAAAAAAAGACTAATTCTCCTCTTGTTTGTTAATCTAACTTAGATGGTTCCTATTCACGTCACACAAATATCATATGGTGGTTCAGAACGAAATACTAGACATCAAAATATGATTGAGCTGAACATGGCTTAAATAAATGTCGCTGGTTTCAAAGAATTTTGATTAATTGAATTTTTATAGCATAATATTAGTACGACAATTACGAATTTGCAACTTATTTGGATGTTGCTACTAGACAATGCTAGTTTTACCATATGACATAGACAAATGGAATAATATTTTTTTTGTCTGTCAAGTTATACTTGAAATATAATCCAAAAGAATGTTTAATTTTTCATAAAAAAGGTATTCCTGCTTAGGCCGTCCAACTCTGTAGGTTTTTCGACTTCTTTTAAAAAGTTCACTTAAAGAGTTCAATCTGTTTTTCCTGATTTTATTTCGTAAATACTTAAAATGTGGAAAGGTAAGGAATGAAAAACCAATATTTAACAATATCAATTTTGGTAATAATAATAAAAAAACTTCAAATCAAATGTTTCATCTAATAACAGAGATAAAAACGTCAATAAAAAACAAGATGCTATGCATTGATTTAGACAAACTCCTAACAGTATTGCAAAGTGTCACTACAGAATGTGACACACATAGAGGATGAAACTAATTGAAGCAACAGTTTGCGACAAAATGAAATTTGAAGTTGATTCAAATTTTAGTAGTGCGTTCATTTTGTTGCAATGTTTATTTATTTTTTTATTGTTTTTATTTTATTTATTAATATTATAGTATTTATTTATTAAGTGTGTGTGAGATGCTTTCTCTTTTCTACTGTCGGTACCCGAAAGTTTCCAGTCACCATCCTCTACGTTGGAACTCGGCCTCTCTGTTGTTTTTGTTTTCTTCCGTCTTTATGTCATTTTCCAAAATCATTCCAATTATCCTCATTGTTTGTCGTTCCGTTTCAAGTGGACGCAATCCTGAACTCTCGGCCAGTCCCACTTTAAACCGAGGTCATGAGCTTTGGAATATGCCACGAAATTCCTGGTATCTTAGGACGTTCTCTACAGGGTGGCCTGTTTATTATGGGATGATACCTCAAATCAGAATCTGTAAACAATATAAAAAACTTAAAGGCAAAAGTTGTTTGGATTCACTTATACCTTTAAAATATTGTTCTATACCGGGTTAGTAAAAAGTACTGGAACGTTTAAATATCTCCAAAACTACCAAAGCTGGAACGATAAAATTTAATACCTGGGGGTTTTTGAACATGTGGAATTCAAAAGCAATGTTATCAGATTTACCGGTTTTAAGTTACACATATCCTATTTATTTTTATTGAATTGAATTGTGCATGTCGAATCTGGTACGATATCATCATTCCAAAATTTTGTTTCTATGAATTACTGAGCTACGGCATCACCGATTTTTAAGTATAAAACACCGGACCGCTTTAATATCGCTAAAATTGGTAAGGCTGGAACGGTAAAATTCAATCCCTGGAGCCTTTGAAAATGCAAAATTCCAAAATGCTTACAGCAGTATTGTCAGATTTACCACTTTTACTTTTCACATCATAATTTTGTTGTTTTGAATTTAATGCGCTATTTATTTTTGTTGCAATGAATTTAGATGTATGTCATTAAAAGATTACCAGAATTATACCATCTCAAAATCTGAAAACTTTGGCTTTTAGCATTTTTCAATTCTGCATATTCAAAAACCCCCATGTATTGAATTTTGTCGTTTTAGTTTTGGCAATTTTGGAGATATTCAACGTTTCGGTATTATTCGACATGTGCAATCAATTACATTAAAAATAAAATAACAAAATTATGACGTGTAAATTAAAAGTGGCAAATCTGACAACATTGCTGTTAGCATTTTTTAATTCTGCGTATTCCAAAATACCAAGTTATTAAATTTTATCGTTCCAGCTTAGGCAGTTTTGCAGATATACATGTACCCCAGTATACATGGGGTGTCTAAATATATCTATGGATTTCTCTGACTGAAAGCGTTAGTATAAATGTAGGGTTCGTTTCTTCATAGATGGTCTGTGTTGATATTTGAAAAATAAATTAATAAAGAGTGATCAGAAAGTGACGATAAAAGAAATTTTTTTCAAAGGGTGACTTTGCCTATTTGAAGAAGTTGTGGATTCGAAATATTAGCAATAAAACCTTTTTTTAATAAGTTATAAAAGGGGTTAATTAATTGCCTAACCCACACTTTTTTATTCGTTCTGCTGTTTTTAGGTTTTTGTCCGTCCGGATTTTTTGAAATAAAACAATTTAAAAAACTAACCAAAATATAAGTTTGTAATAGTAGTAGTAGTAATTACGAGTAATTTTTTTACAGTTTCTGGAATAACGTACCATCCTATAATAAACAGGCCATATTGTACGAGTAAATATCCTCCCTTTTGTACATCCAGTATTTAAGACGATAGCGAATTTTCGATTTACTCCGTATCAACTTTACTTCGTGGACGGTAATGCGATGCGGAGCGCCTTATGCGTTTGACACTGTCTCAAATGGTCGTGGAGGCTGTGTCACTGCGAGTCGGGCTAAAAGGCCACTTTATCGTCGGTGACCGCCCGCAACCGCATCCACTGAAAAATCCTTTGATCTCCTATATTGGAATTTCGGTTGGACGCCTGCTTGCGGTTTCCAAGTAGTGTACTCCGGTCGACCAGTGAATGTGGTTGCATACATCGATTACCAAAAAATGACCTTGGTTTAAGAAAATTCTATTCTGATTTAAAACATTGAAATTCACAGTACAACCTCAATTTTGTCATTTCTAATTACCACGGTATGTCCACTGCCCGTTTTAAGTACGGCTGTTTGTACCAATTTCGAACTAAATTTGTTCAACCAATTTCTTCAGAGTAAGTTACTAGAGTCAAATTTTAAAGGATTCCATATTGGAAAAATTTACAGATATTTTTCGGTCTGCATTATGCCAATTTCTCGAAAACGATAATTTTTAGGTGCCGGATATTTAACCAGTAAGATAACGAAGATTTGTGTAGGGTCCTTGAAATAAGAAAGTTGTCACCTACTTCCGCTATATCCAGTTGTACCGCCATTGATGGCGGATTACCCCCAAAAACATTTACCAAATTCAAATATAGTTTTCCCGTAACAAATCAGTAAAGTTCCCTGTAGGACACCCTGTATGTAGAGCTTAAAGAAAGACAGTTGTGTTTTAATAATGACAGGTCTACTAAAAACATTCCTGAAGAAGCCCTACTATCTCGAGTTTTTATTTTTTTTACTGATTTTCTAAGTTAGAAAAGAGAAATCAGAATGTGATTTTGACTATCGTGTTCGACTCTTATTTGTTACAATCAAAATTATGCATTACATTTTTATTGAGGAAATAAATTCTATTTGTAAAGATATCGCAAAACTAATCTAATCTAAATCATTCGCTTAATGGCAGCATCGATAACCTAAGAAGC